GTCTTCCAAATTTCTTGGCATAGATGAGTGAGTGCCTCCTGTGCCGCCTCACTTTCTTGAAAGATTTCAATTTTTATTCCATCAATTCCTGGTGCTTTTGTTCTTTGCCAATTCCTTCTATGTACCTTGAACTTCCTCCTTCAGTATCAGAGAAGTGTAGATAAATATAATTCCCAAAGAAACAGGCACAACTGTTGTAGGGGCAGTCTTTTGGAAATTGAGGGATGAAGGAGTGAAATAGCTGTGGAGTTCCTATTACATGCCAGGGTCTGAAAGCCTTCATTCCTTCCTTCATTTTGAGTTCCTCTTATGGTCCTGCCACAGATCCTGGCCCTGGGTATAAACTGGGGAGGGAAGAAGAAAGATCCTCTCCTGTCCTCTTGGGCCTTTCTAGTCCAGTGTGGGGAGAAACATGAATGTCAAGGCCAGCGGTCATGTGAGGCTTCTGGGGGCGGGGTGCCTGAAGAAGCTGAGACAGGATGAGGGCTAGAGGGGCCAAGTCGAGGCTGGTTCTGGGCAGAGGGGCTAATCCTCACAGTGGGGTCAGGAATGGTCATTCTCCTTTTGCATTGAGAACACTGGGCTGTAGGGGGCTGAGGGGACAAGTTTGGACTCCAGCACTGCATGACCACCCCCATCCCCCCACCACCTCCGCTCTCACAGGGACCCCGTGCTAAAGGCCATCAAGGATGGTGACGAGGAGGCTCTGAAGGCCATGATCAAGGAGGGGAAGAACCTGGCCGAGCCCAACAAGGAAGGCTGGCTGCCGCTGCACGAGGCCACCTACTATGGCCAGCTGAGCTGCCTGAAGGTCCTGCTGAAAGGTGAGGATGGCCAGGCTACAGCTGACCAAGCTGGGGCTGGAGCTCCGTGAGGGGAGCAGGACAGGGTCACTGTGATGGGAGAGAGGAAGTGCCCCCCACCCCCAGCTGCCACCTCTCCTCCAGGACAGGAGGGCCCAGTCCCTTAGATAAGGAACTAGGGAGACTGGCTTGACCTCTGGGGGACCATGGGGCATCTCACCTCCTCCTGAGCCTCAGCCCTCCCCGAGCAGATCTAGACAGGGCTCCTTGCTTCCTGAGGGGAATTAAAAAAGACAAACAGGAATCCCTGGGTGGTTCAGATGGTTTAGCACTCAACTACTCACCACAAAGTTTGGTGATTACATTCAACCAGAGGTGTCTCAGAAGAAAAGACCTGGAGATCTACTTCTGAAAAAGCAGCCATTGAAAACCCTGTCTACAGTTCTACTTTGACACACATGGGGTCGCCTTGAGTCAGAATTGACCACAGTAACTGATTTTCTGCCTTCCTTCCTTCCTTTCCTTCCTCTTTCTTTCCTTTCC